TCTCTGAAGATCTCCAATGTTGCCCAAGGTTGCGCTCATTCCAATTATCTGGGTGTTCTCTGTAATAAAGGTAATATCAATAGTATTATAATAATATTAAATGCATTAGAAAGTAAAGTTAGAATCAGAACACTCCAGAAGGTATGTTTACTTACTGTTGATGTACAGCACTTTGGCTAAAGTCATTTCAAGAATTGCCCCTCTGCTGCCATCGCCAAGCATGTGGAGCTGAGATTAATTTTAGAGGAGAAATAAATTAATCAGTATGCATGCAATGAAGCCCATCAGTCACAAAATCACAAGTACTCGAAGTATGTTTTAAATTTCAAAGGAAAGAACACTACAGATATATATATATATATATATATATATATATATATATACACATATATATGCATGTGTAAACATATATATTACAAAGACCACAAACTGAAATAAAATATAGTACTGGAACCAACCTCATCCACAACAACAAGCCCAATACTGTCCAGTCGGTTTGTCTCAATGAGTGAGTTCACAAGGCTGTGGCTTTTCTCGATTGTGGCGATGTAAAGAGAGTTCTTGGTTCTTCTTTTCACTGGAGGGAACTTTCCCTTACTCCCAGCATACTCCTCCACCATGAGGTCCAACTCAATACCAAAACTAGCCAGTCCTCGAACCTAAAGAGAACAGAATTAATCAATACTAAGTAGTAGGGGTGTGGGAAAAACTCGATTCTTAGATGGATCGCGATGCGGACGTGAACGATTCTGAATCGATTCATAAATGTCAAAAATCGATTTTCTAGATATTTAATTTATAACGTAATGTTGACGGAACGCACAAGGCGGAACTGGAAGTGGGTAAGTGCAGCGCCCGGACAGTCTGTGGCGGCACATAACAAAAACACAGCTGGATGAGTGAGAAATCCGACCGGCCCCCTCTGCATTAAAGCCAGGTTAGGTCAGGAGTCACAACCCAAATGACAAGAAGAGCCATTATGTCCTTTCAACAAAGTCTAACCACCTCGGGAGCCACAACATTTAATGCCCAGTCTGTCTTAGTATGTATTAATGTCCTAGTATGGGCTAAAAAAATATAAACGAGAGCGCAGATTTACTTTGCTCCGCTTTAAGCTTTAGCTACAGCCGCTTTCCTTCCATCTCCGCCAGAAAACTTTTCTTCAAAACTAGAAGAGTTTCTTGTAAAACGTCTCAGCATCCGGCTGTTTTACGAGGCTGAAGTCGCTTCTCATTCTCCAGCTTCTCGTTCTAATTTTCCCGTTCCACCTTAAATTCTGCCTTAGGTGCCGAATGCAACTGCTGCACCATTTAAGGTGGAACGGGAAAATTCGAAAGAGAAGCGAGTTCATTTTCGCACCTTTTTTAGAGAAAGACAGTCTCTCATTGTAGATTTAACCAACCGCGCTGCTTATAAATGCGAATAAGTCCTCCAAATGTTCGTCTTAATCTCTGTTTCTTCGTTCGCTACTGGCGAGGCCAGACCTCGGTGCCTGCTGTCTGTTCTCAGTCGTTGAGAACCAGGGCTTTCGCGCTATGCTGCACACTTTGGAGCCGAGATTCAGCGTCCAGTCGGGAAGGATGGCTGTAGCGTGCTGCGTGGACACCCATTAGCACAGGATCTTATTTCAGGGCAACAGCGCATTTTATCGCAGATGAGTGGCCGCAGCGTCTCTGAATAAGAGCCTTCTAGTTCACTTGCCACATCACTTCCATTTGATTTATTAATAAAAGATATTTTAGATATTTAAAGCAAAGTATTTGTAGTGATCCATAATACATTTACATTATGGATCATTACAAATACTTTGCTTTAAAACTACCAAGTTTTTAGACAGTAGGAAGATAGAAATCCTGTATAAAGAAAAAAGATGCATCGAGATGCATCGATAATCGTTTTATAATCGCCTCGCAGCCCTCTGAATCGTAATCGAATCGAATCATGAGGTGCCTAAAGATTCTCACCCCTACTAAGTAGGGATGTAAAAATGAATTACATTAATCTGAAGGTAACAATTCAACAGTATTGATTTAGGAACGTCAGAGTCTATTATGGATATAAAATAATCAATTTGCACAAAGAAAAGTCCAATGAAAATAAGTGGAAAAACCAAGATTTTCCAAAAAATAATTCAATATTATTAAAAGATACAGAAAAAAACCTCTAAGAACTATAAAAATCCTAAAAGACCAACAAAACTATCACCATCAAATAAACAGTACTTAAAGCTTTCATCTTAGAGAGAGAGGAGAAAATCCACTCTTGCTTTAGATCTGAAAAAATCAGTTTCTTTTTCTGTTCATCCTTCCACTGTGAGAAAACAACTCAACACTATGAGTCCGAAAGCATGCGAAACCGGCAAAAAGCCATTACTAAGAAAAAAAAACAAAAAAAGCCAGACAAAAAAGAAGAAAAATTACATTGAATGTGCTTCGGGTTTCTTGGATCGTGAGGAGCAGAAAATGCAACCAACTTCTAAGACTAAACTTTGAAGGTGTGGAAATATATCCCTGGAGATTTCTTTGAAAAACTGAAAATAAGTCTCCAAAAAAGAATGGAAGCACTAATACAGACAAAGAGTGGACACACTAAACACTTCTTTTCTGCTTTTTTCCTTACACTGAAAAACCAAAATAACTTATTGGCCATTTTGACAAGAAAGTAAATGAAGGGCAGTCTCTGACTCTTGCATAGTACAGCATGACTTGTTTTTAGTTTACATAAAAATATTGGGTTATTTTCCATTTCCAGTTTCCATTTCTGTGTAAATCATTTCTCTAGAAATATTTGTAAAATTATTTTCAGTTCTGAATAGTACTAAATTTATTAAAATAACAGGACTGGAAGCTACACATTTAAAGGCTCCTTTCTAAATTTTCTGTGACACTGTGTTTACCTTTTCTTGCACCAAGGCTACATATGGCAAGATCAGCAGTGCGTCCTTTTTTCTACAAAGAAGCTCTTTGAAAATTAGAATTTCTGCCACCAGGGTCTTCCCACCACTGGTTGGTAAAGAGTAGATAAGGTTCTTTCTCTGTTTCACGGAGTCCAAGTCCAGACATGCTTTCTGCCACTCTGAAACAAGGAAAGACAGCGTTAGTTAAGCATTCTGATTATGTGCAAAAGTCTTTAACCAACTTCACTGTGACACCCATGCTCAATGACACCCCTTGTCCAATGGGTTGGGAGACAGAACAACCAGTACTGACTGAAAGCCCTTTAGGACTGAACTGAAAACTTCAGATATACAAAGTAAAATGGGTGTACAGGGGATTATTTGTGGGTATTATACAGAATGTGAATTAATCACCATACAAGTCCTGGATTCCTTTCAGTCTCATGATTAAATCCTTGACTTTGGATGGAAGCCCAAAGAAAGGACCAAGGTCCCCTTCCATGGATACGGACTCAATGGTCTGCATGGCAACACTAATTTCTTCACTCATCACAGCTTCTTTCTGCAGAGCAGTCTTGGAGACCTTGTTGGATGTGCCTGCATTTTCCAGCATCGCCTTCTTTAGCTGGTCTGTCATACTTCTTCTAGCTTTTGAGGCTGGTTTCTTATCATGAAGGGCAGGAACGGGGGCCTGTTTTGAGTGTTTCATGTCTGGAGTAGAAGTGTTCTCCATGCCAACACCAGGCTGTCTTTTTGGGTTTGCCACATCTTGATGAAATGCAAGCTGAGAGCTTGGCAAATCTCTCAGTGACGTATCAGGAAAATCCTCTGCGAAGATAGAGTCAGTGATATCATCCTCACATGACTGTTTAATAATGTTTTTAGCAGCAGGGGGGTCAAAACACACATTTTCATGTTCCACTTTCAGTTCCATGTCATCCAGTTTGGCGAGGAAGGAGCTGTCACCCATGATGCTGTCATAGCCATCAAAAAAATCCTCATTGTCACTGCAGCACTGGGAAACAATCAGAGACCAGTGATAAGCATGGCTTTCAAATGTGATTCAGAACAACTTGTTATAAATTAAGGAAGCTAACTGATGTAAAATATTTCTTTGATTAAACTATAGTAATACTATAAAAAGCTATACAATTATGAAACAGTGGTGCTGTGTAATGCTTTTATATAACAATCCTTTTTTATAATACAATAATGCTGTGTTACTATTTTATAGCAGGGTGAAGTATTACTATAGATGTTGTTCAGTGGTCTTACAAAATCAAAAGATGATCAGGTAAGCAAGCTACCTGCTCTGTGACTGTGCTCTCCTCTGTCCTGATTTGAGCTACGGCGCTGTGCTCAGCGTTTGCATAGCAGTTCCCATCTACAGCACTCGGCCGTTTTTTGGCTGGAGTGAAGTTACTCCTCACGGCGTCTCTAGCTCTCTTTTGGGAAGAAAAACGTTTAACAACGATTCCACGCGCGTTGTCAACGTCAGTATTCATCATGTTAGTTCATTTCTAGCGAACAGCGACAGATCCATTAATCAACCACTGGCTGGAAGTTTTAACTGTTACCCAGAGCTAAAACGCAGAAGCAGCTAGCAGATAAATAACCATGTATTGTAACGTGGGTAGGTTGACTGGGTAGTCTGAACAAACCATGACAGACACACAGTGGATAGAACTCAAACATGTACCGGTTAAGCTGTTCGAGTGTCAAATGAGAAACACAGAGCACAACATCAACACCATACTGCAACTCGACTAAGCTGCCTGTCACGGAGATGTCGGATACTTTTATTATTGCGAAACGTTTAAAAAATACAGTTGAGGAAATAAACCAATGACGCGCCATCTTTTGTAACCCGTGACCGGCGCGAACGTAAACCTGCCAAAATAAAAGTCCTCCACTTTGACGACTTACTGTTCCGTTTAAAGTATTTCGTTTTAAAATAAATATTAGAAACCACACTGACTCATCCTAAGGATCTATCATATGAACCGTCTAATACGATTATTTTTTTGTTCGCATGGATTTAAAAAAAATCTGTGTAACGGTCACTGCTACACTAACACTGCATCAGTCCATTAGATGGCGGTAAAAGGCTAAAACTAGCAGACGTGTTTACAGAAGAACACGGAGGGTCATGGTGGACTGCTAGAAAAATGTTTGCCCTTAGCAGTAGTCGAGTGTTTCACTTAGCCCTGTCCAGGCATGCAGTCACGCCTAACATTACAGGTATTAAGGATGCTTTTTCTGTCTATGTAAACATTCGTTGCCGGAGAAGTGGCCTGTTTTGTGTGTAAATCTTCTATCGTTAGCCATGTAACCTAACCTAGCTAGCTGCTGTAGTCGCCTTTCGTGTTGTGAATGCCTGTACAGCGTGATTTGTATTGATTTAGTACAGTGGTGTGCCTTATACCTTTAAGCCCGATATCCTAACTTACAATTTTTTCCAGGCCCAGTTATAACATTTGTTTGGTGTTATGTGCCAACAGATATAACTTATTTTTAAATGAATGTAAGAAATTAGCTCATGCTTTTACCATTTCTACATTAGACTATTGTAGTGTGCTACTGAATGGATGGCAAATGAAGACTAGAAAGCAGCAGCCAGTGTGCTTAGTGGGAAACAAAAGCTTGAGCACATTGCTGTGGTCTTATTCAGTTTACACTGGGTTCCTGTTACGTTCTGCATTGACTACAAGTTCTCTGCTGACATTTGAAGCTATAACGGCCTCACACGTCTGCCCTATATTGTGGATTAAACCAGTACTAAAGGCTTGAATAGGTAGAGATTTTGTGATATCACAAAAGCAATGTTTGAACCTTATGAAATGGGGAGTGAAAATTATAGTTTGAAGAAAAACATATCAAACTTTATGATAAAAAAGAAAAAGTTGTTTTTTTCCTCAGCATATTGGCCCTTTTGAAAATGTTGAACATGCAGTCAAATGTGAGCTCAATGGCCATTGTGATCCATTACCAGTTGGTTTTATGAAATTGGTGAGGTGAAAATTATTTAATTATGAAATTATTTTTCCTTCTCACTGTTATTGTCATGTTGCTCAGGTTGGTGTCTCAGAAGTATGGCCACCATTCAACAAGAGGCCAAAATAAATGATATGGTAAGTAGTCAGTAAATAAACATTGTCCTTCTTACATCCTTAGACATCTGTTTAGAACAGCAATGTATGAGATTTGATCTGTGAATGTCTTCTTTTAGCCCATCAAAATGGAAAATCCATTTAAACAGCCTCAGAAAGGATGTATTCTTTGCAACGTGTCAATAGATTACAAAAATGTCCAGGTTAGTAATTTAATGCAATTTAATTCTTGAGTGTTTGGAATTATAGTAATTTTTAAAGGAGTAATAACCTTTGAATGAACTACCTTTTTTGCAGCTGTTATCGCAGTTCATCTCACCACACACAGGCAGAATATATGGCAGGCACATAACAGGTGAGGCTGGATTGATTAAGCAACTCCCAAATGTCATGCTTTTTGCCTGCATTAAGTAACAAAATGCATCCATTGCAGGCTTGTGTGGTCGGAAACAAAGAGAGGTCACCAGAGCAATCAAGAGGGCTCGATCAATGGGTAACTTTGCTAGTGTCTTTTGCACATTTTCATTTTTTCATTAAAACAACCATAAATGTTAGCGGTATCTTTTAGGTTGCCTGTCTATAACTGTGAATTATGTGTTCATACATACTGTAAAGCACTGCTTATTAACTGAAGTTGTAAGACTGAGCATTGAAACTACTTGTCCTTCCAACAGGTTTCATGTCAGTTATGCTGAAGGACCCACAGTTTATGAAAGATCCCAACGTTTGTTCCATCAGACACTTGGATTAGCTTAAGTCCCGACTAAAGGAAGATGTGAAGATTATACCTTTTTGATAAATGTAATAAAAATCTGACCAACCATGCTAACCCTTTTATTAGTAATTGAATGTGTGTTTTTCCTTTTAGACTGCACAAAACAAACAGCTAACTGCTAATTAATATTACATTTAATTCAGCAATCCAATATTAGAACATGGTTAAACACATTTTCCATAAAAAAAACACACAAAAACAAGTGCAGAAAATATTACACAGATTTTCTTCGTTGGAAGAAAAGTCTCTAAAATCATCTTTAAAAAAAAAAAAAAAGAAACAAACAGGAGTTTGTTTCAGATTCCTGTTACATACCTGATACGAGGCCATTAAGCAGACCTTTTTAACTTAATGTAGAAACACATTAATAGGCTAGACTGTCAATATTGCAGCAATGCATCTGACGTAGTCCATTCAAACTGATGTCTACCACAGCCCACAGTAAGAGGCATTTAAAAAACAGGAGAATTACTGTCATTTGGGCTGGTCATCTCTATCTCTGTATCTGACCCACTATCTGATTCATTTGTATCAACAGTGTTCTTTTTATTTGCGATACCTGTGACATGGCTTTTCTGCTTTAGTCTGCAGCCTCTGCTCGCTTTCCTCTTCCTCATGCCACGTTCAGTCTCCAGGACAAGTGGCAATCTGGTAGGAATGTCAATGCCATGGTCAGTACTGCAGCACAGCTCTAGAACAGGAAAGCCCTGAACAGTCAGAGTTTGTGTCCGTGATGATGGTGCATTTGGGAACAGTGCTCTTAAAGCTGCACATAGTAGTACGTTCTCCTTGGGCTCATTTGTCATGGATTTTTCATTGGCTGAAGACAGGAAGAATCATTTAATAAAGTTAAAGGAATTTTTCACTGTAAAATCCAAATTCCACAATTCCCCCCTTATTCCAACATTAGATTGATGAGCCATGACAAGTTTGCTTTTTTAGTGCTTTTCTTCTCACTGGTGCTACGAGGCTCATGTACCTAAAAAGTAATTAAATTCTAAAGAGTGAGAAATTGAATGAAACGTGCAAAAGCTTCTAGACAGGCATACTTCAAGGTACAATTAAGCAATTAACATCTGACCATGCTCTGTGGTCTGTATAAAATGTTGAGCAGGCATAGTTGAACTCGACATGGCAAGGAAGAGAAAAGAACTAAGTAGCTATGAAAGAGCGTTCACTACTGGGGCAAATATGGCAGGAGCTTCATTTGCAAAGACTGCTCAACTGGATCATGCTACAACAGGAATAGTGATTTTTGGCATTTAAATCTATAGGAAAGACATCAGCAAAAAGTTGGAAATTGTGGCAAAAAGTGCAGTAAGTGACTTTATGCCATGCATTAGTGTGGTACGTAAGGAAAAACTGAAAAGCAACTGTTCTTCAGGTGACTGAGAATGTCAGTGCAGGATGTGATCAGACTGTCACTAAGAACAAGATGTCAACAACTACACACAAAGGGATACAGTAGGACTGTCAACCTAGAAGGAAAAGAACCCCTGCAAATCAATACAAAGCTATGTTGACTGATCATCTTTATCCCAAGATGAAACAATTCTACTCATAGAAATGAGTGGTTTCTTTCAGGATGGCAATGCCCCCATCCACAGGGCACAAGGGAGCACTGAATGGTTTAATAAGTACAAAAATGATGTAAATCCATTTCCACAATTGAAAAAAGAAAAAGCAGCAATAAGAATTTCTGAGCCAATGTTAGACAGTGCTCTCCATCACCAGCATCAAAACAGCGGGAATATCTTTTAGAAGAATGATGTTCCATGACCCCAGTACAATTCCAGAGACTTGCACAACGTTGGCCAAAGCGTAATAAATCTGGTGGTTTGCGACAGCTCAGTGCCTTAAGATGTTTCATTTTGGTTTTTATTTGAGTTTCTCACCCAAAATCTTTCTTGATGACACACACTTCTGTAAAGAAGCAAAGTTTGGACACCAAACTTCTTGGCCAATTAACTACGTTTGTGGAAAATTGTGTAAATTGTCATTTTTTTGGTAATCTGTTCCCTCTACTCCACAAAAACTATTTTGTGAATTATGTAATTAATCTTTGTTACAAATATAAAAAGCAAGGTCTTACCGTCACAGTCTTGCTGCTTTTTCTTTCGTTTGCTAATGGCCTCTTTGAGCTCCGCGATATCCGCTTGGAGCTTCTCCACCAAGCGCTCACTCTTTTCTACTTTCTCACTTACAGTCTGGAGGAAGGGAAAAAAAAGTTTAGGAGCCAGGGCAAGTCTGCAGTGACTAAATTCTGCTGGAGCCATTAATTGTTTTTAAAAGATAAACAGTCTCATCCTCTTACCTTCATTTCATCTAACAAGGCATCGTTCATGTCACTGACTTTTTCCACTTCCCTGAGATCATCATCTGAACAGAAGAATTTAGTTCTATGCACAGAAGAAATAAAACATAAACTGATGGTCCAGGGAACAAGAGACATATGGGCTAGTCATTTTTTGAAAGGTGTGTCTAGTACCTGTGTTTTTTTACAGCTTGACAGTGGCTCAAAGAAGGGCATGTTGCTGAAACTCTCCAGTAGTCATGCTGATCCAGCATACCCAAGTTGCTTATTGAGACAGGAACGCTGCTGTACTGACTAGAACAAAAACAAAGGGAATTTAGAAACATTATAGCCATCCAGGCTTCTTTAGCAGTGAGATTGTTTGAGTGTTTGCTCCTGACCTGCCATTCCATATGAAGGCTGTGTATTCAAGACGATGAGTGGAACCTGATGATGTACCATCTGAGGGCGTCAGCAGCAAGAAAATAAGTTCCTGATGTGGCCAAACCTTCCTTAAATTCTGATGAACCCACTGTTCTTTCAAAGTCATCTGCTGGCTGCTGTTTCTCCGCTGCCGGTACCATCCAATCACATTCTCCTTTACACAAAAGAGGGGAAAGTTGTTAATAAGATTTTATATCTACATTTTCTTCAATGTATGGTATTTTCAGTAGAGAATAACAGTGATAGTACCTCTTTAAAATTTGACAGAATTTGCCTAATTTTCTCCTTGTCTACTTCACAAGCATTGTTGTAGAAACTATAAGGGAGAAAGCAATAAAACATCAGAGATGTGGGGAATTACATAACAAACACTAAAGCAGAGCTGTTTTGGAAAAGGTCCACGTACCTATGAATCCTTCTACAGGTAACATGCTTCTGAATATCTGAAAACGAAAAGCACCAAGATCTTTATGTGCAGAGCTTACAATTTACATAAGGTACTTACTTTTGTTACAGTAACATGTGGGACATGTGTTCAATTGGCAAAGTGGCTTACTTATTGTGTGCACAAACTGAATATGATCAGTCTGGGAGTCTGTGATTTTACTGTTCTCCTCTCCCAAACTCTCCCCAATGAAGAGACCTTCCTGTTTCAAAAACACAAGCCAAAAGAAGACTTAAGGGTCACATATCATCAAAATTTAATTTAAGAACACTTGAAAAAAAGAGTTTGATGTAGTATGTACTGTACACACTGTTTCAAAATGTACCAGTCACTCTATATATCAAAGCTAAGCTGCAAAAATGGCCCGCTTTGAATTCATTATCTTTGTGATGGCACAAATACCACTGCATTTACACACATCAGTCTTAAAGGCACAAAGAAAAATAGCCTGTTTAATTCTAATGCTACGTTTACATTATGACAGTGAGCACTTGTAGTTGAAGCCCATGTGTACCGATTCATATTCATCCAAAATAAACCTCAACAAAAAATTATCATTAGAAACATTACATGTGTTTAAAATACTATTCTTGTAATGCTACTGAAATGACAATGTTTACATGCACTCGGGGCGGGGTTTCTTTAGTAAAAGGAAGGGTTCTATTTAGAACCATGAGTTCTATATATAGAACCATTTCATAACATAACAACAGAAACATCCTTTTTGGTGCTATTTAGAACCATTTTCAAAAAGGATCTATACAGAACCATATACAAGGCATTCTCCATCAATCTGAAGAACTATTTCACCATGCAAAGAAACGTTTAAGCAAGAAATGGTTCTATACAGAACTCATGGTTCTTAACAGAACCATACCATTCCATTCACTGAAGAACCCTCGAAGAACCAGCTTTTTAAAGAGTGTGGTTAGCATTTTTTTCAACGCCAATAAGGGGTAAAGAAATTTTGTTAGCTACACAAAATCACACAAATTTTGAAAGTGGCCCCAGCGGGGAAAAAACAAAACACAGACAAAATGCAGAATATGGACCCTTTATGTTGCTCACAGGTGAACTGGATCGTTAAAAGAAACACAAAAGGATGTCAGTTGTAATAACATAGGGCTAAGGACAATGTGAGCAATGACAATGTTCTTTAGCTAAACCACCTTCATTGTGCAGAAGAAGTCTAACTTACTCACCACATCAGAGTCACTGTTCAAATGCTGAAACATCAGTGAACCCAACACGAACCCAGATATGCGGACAGTCGTGCTGTACTCCTCCATGACGCTGCGTCTATTTCAGTGTAACTAGGTCACTCTCACTGTTCCTTCTCAAACCCAAAACACCCTCACCGGCTACAGTGAGCTAGAGGCACATATTTGCAGTATTTACGCCAGCTGTTTCAGCTTGAAGCTAACCGCTAATACCTTATAAACTTTTCTGAACATCACTCTCTCTATGCTTGTGGTCTGAGAGCTGTTTCAGTATAGCGCCGCCTAGTGTCGTGGAATAACGATCACCACCACATTGAACTTGAACTGCACCGTGACCCGTTTGCTTAAAGGGCCCATGTCCCGTATATTTTTCCTGTACATTATTTTTTCACCATGGTCCACTTATGGCGTTTGTGTGAATTTCTGTGCCAAGAACAGCCATAGTTTATTTTTACTCTCGTTTTCAACATATTGTAGTGTTGTTTGGGAAATATCTCCATCATTTATAATTAGACAGGCTGTTTTTCTTACTGTACCTCTAAGACGGATGTACGTAAATGACTTCTGTCCCGAATTGAGCCTCATTCAAAAGCAGTATAGGATAAAAAAAAACAAAAAAAAACTTTATAACTTATGACTGGTCAGTTGTAAATGTGACATCACAAACAGTCTGTTTTTGGAGCTTAACTTCCATACGTGGACTGAGGAGTGAATGGTATGCCTTGAAACTTAAAAGGAGTTTATATATACATTATCAAAGTACTTTCTTTAAAAAAAATAGAAAGCAAAATGCTGCTTTCTAGGATATGTGCCCTTTGATGAACACTCATTGTCTTTGAGGCAGAGGTGGACAAAAGTAGCTAAAACAAACAAGAGGAAATACTGACACAGGTACAAAAAATAAACAAGTATCAGGTCTAAAAACTACTTAAATACTAAGATCCCTGTAAAACTGCAGTGGAACTTCAGCATCTGTGAGTTTAGAAACTGTTTGAGTTTGTTAAGCACCATTCTCTCTCTCTCTCTCTCTCTCTCTCTCTCTCTCTCTCTCTCTCTCTCTCTCTCTCGGGTCTAAAAATAAAATGCTAAGGCTCTAAAGTACGCACTTATTCCCACTCTAATCCTGAACGGACGTTCATTTCGCTTGATTATGGCTTCTACAATTGCCAAGTCGATTTCTGACGCAATCACTCTGCCTCACAGCAGTAGAGGAACAATCCCAGTTTTGAAGCAGTTTTAGAGCAAATCTGTGTCCAGTCCTTCTAGAAAATGTTTATTTTTCTAGGTGATTTTAATAGGAGTCATTAATTAATTTCACTTACTGACTAATTTATTCATGTGCACTTTTTTAATGTGCAATTTTTTTAATTTCGTGGTGAAACACGGCTAAATGGATTTCTACATGTAATCATGCGTCATCACAAAAGTCACATAAGCCACAGGTGTGATCACTTATGATCCTGAACGTATGCAGTTTCACATGTTTAACATGCTGTAACATGTGGTCACGAAATATTCACATGATGTCACATGCGTTTGTTTACTGTAATTGGAGGATCTTTCAGGGTGTGTGATTAATAAGTTAAGGTGGATATAAAATATAAAACTCCCTAGAGCTTTTTTTCCATTTGCTTAAATCTGGACAGCGGAGTTCTGATCGCCTAGCTGGCTAAATAGAACAGTTTGTGCTTTAGCTCCTGTGCTGGCCACTGGGAGGCGCTGTTCTACCATACTCACCAAATTTTGAAATACTTCTAGTTGAACTTTGTGTTCAGTCACACGAAAGGTATTCGGGGAAAAAGAGATTTTGGGGTTGGAACGGTTGTAACATCAGGCAACATCTGGGAATGAGGAATGAAAATCACCACGGTAAGTGGTTTTAGCAAACTTTTGGGGGTTAAAGTTAATTGAATGTAACGGTGTTTGTTGGCGCTATTGTTGATGTGTCAGTACACAGTTAACCTACAGCACAGCGGTTTCTTATGTAAATGAGTACACGGGACGGTGTGCTAACAGAAGTAGCACATAAAAACTTATTTTAAGCCCTCTTATTAGTTATAAACGGGATAGATTTTAAAGATTTTGTGGAAAGTTCACTTAGCTCGCCTGCTCTTAACTGCAAGACGAAGAAAACAGATAGCAGCTTGCACGAGTGAAGAAGGCATCATCGTTTGTATTGACTTTGAGTTAAACGTCTAACCTAACCTACCTAACTTAGCCAAGGTTACCGTTCCTTTAGGCCAACAGAACTGTATTAGCTAGAGCTTGAGACTGTTATGTATTTAGTTTCTCCTCGATTCCCACGTGCAGATGACCTGATATCAGTGTGCTCAAGCAGTGGCTGATAGGGGCTTGAAGAAATGGAGGGCGCCAGCTGGGACTCGGCGCTGGTGGTCTTCGAGGTGTGGTTGTCTGTGGTGTTGGGGCTCATTGTGCTCCCTGCCATGTTTGGGGTGTCACTAGGCTTCACAGACCTCTACATTAAAGCCCTGGTCAAAACACTGGAGGTAAATACACAAAACACATTTAAACCCCACTTCAGTTGATAATGATGACACTCACTCTTTAACTTTGTGATGTAAAAGGGCTCTGAACTGAACTGAAAATGGAGAAATGGCTTTGAAAAACAAGTACAGTACATTTGTTTCTTAACCCCTTGAACCATAAGACATCACATGTGGGTTCACAGTTCAGTTCCTCACTCTAGTAATTATATAACTGACATAGCAGTTTCACAGTTATTCAATAATCATAAGTAGTCACTGAATAATAAGCCTTAACTTATGTTCCTGTGTTCAGCAACAAAACAACTAAACGGCACAGAACATGTTCTGAAGTGATGAAATCTTGTATAGATACAATTGGAATGAACATCTAACAGTAACAGTTTGACTTTTTTAAATTTTGTGTACTTTTCTTATTTTAATTCACATTTGGTTTTTCTCTTGTGACCAAAATTTAGAATTTACACTGGGAAGCGATAAAAACTCACTTTTTAGACATATGGTTTAATCAGGTTTCTTCAGATTTGTACTCAGATTTGCATGCAAGCTCAGAGAACATATAGAACCACAATGTAAAATTGCAGATACACACATTAATGGGCTAAGATTAATAACTGAATCATAGGCCTAGGGTTAAAAGGGTTAATATTCACATACGCTCCAGTATCATGGTAGAGCAGTTTGTCTGGTATAAATATTCATGCTAGTTTAAGCAATGTCTCTTATGCGTGAGGCTGTGTAATAAAGGTCGCCCAAAAATAAACTTGTTCTACGGGCAGTGGGCCACTCTGAGGATCCAGAGAGGACAGAAGGAGGAGGATGCACTCCCCGCTCATCTGCCCAATGGTAAGTGGAATCATACTGGCACTGTGTCTGCATAGCACATATCAGAAGTGAATAGACAAAGCACAGTGTAAGATGCTATTAAATACAAAATGCTATATGATTACCCTTATTGTAAGAGATGTGTATTATGTATTAAACCCGCAGGCTACATGTTTACTTTTGTACGCTTCTGTGGTTCTGCACATTTGCTTTTATTGTTTGGCATTCGTGCCATTTATATAAGGTCTTGCTCTGACATTAGCATGAGGTTTTTGTGAACAAACTGGTATTTCAGCTGGTATCTATGAATCTCAAAAAGCCAGTTTTGCAGCATGTGTACCGATGCTTAACTGTGTGTTTGAGGTCAGAAACATCCTGTTTTAAAAGGACTGTCAGTGTTTTCTACTATGCTATTCAGTTGTATTATATTATATTATATTGGTATTTTTTAAGAGTTTGTTTATTGGCAGTAGTAGTCTGCACTGACCAGTTAACTGAACTTACGTGATGTTACAGAAGGTCAGATTTCATAATTTCAGTTGGACAGCTCACATTCAGATGTGAACTTTAACCAGTGTAAGGCATGGCATTGAACATCTCTAGAGACATTATTTATTTATTTATTTATCTGAAATCTGGTGAAGGACAGATTTTTCTAGACAAGAGACACTGATAACAAACAGGTTTAGGTTCTTAGTTCAGAAAGAGAGGTGTGATAGAGTGCAGCATACTCATGCTTGGATTAAATGGAAAAAGTATTAGAAAAAGGATTATTTTAATAATTAAGGCTTGTATTGAGAATAAAGTATAACTGCATTTTGTAGTTATCCATACTGTACAAGATGGATATAAAAGAAACCTTTTTCAGTGACTAAGGAGGAAGGAAACATCAAAAAAGGATTGCATAACACTCTTAACCACAAACTCCACATTGATGGCACAAGTTTGTCTTGTTTGTTTGTTGGCATCCCATTTCTGTGTCCTCCCAATGCTTAATTACATTCAAAACAGTACAAATTGTATTGTATTGAACATTTTAATTTAAAGTGAAATACACAGGAAAACTTGTCTAATATTGATTTTTCCAAAAAGTGATATTCTTCGTAAATCATTAAAGGGGAATTCCTCAGATTTTTTACATTTTCTGCATAAATAAATCTTTGAGATGTAAACAAAGCAACTCAGAGTGGTTTGATGTGAAATGGTGTTTTGTAGACAAAGTACCAACTTGAATTTCTTTACATTGATGGTGAAACAGGAGTTGCGGTATTCCCAACGCACACATAGCCATTTTATTTACAACACTGTAAAAGATGACTGCACATTTACAGAAGTAATTTCAAAGCAAAATACTGGTTTGTTATTTTACATGATCATACTGTAAAACATTGTGCATTTAGAGCAGTGCATTCATTTACAGTAACGTACCAGACAACACAATTTACATTAATTTACTGGCAGCAGTGACCAGTCATCCAAAATGACCAGTGAGCCTACACGTGTCTTCTGAGTTTGTCAATACCATTTTCTCTGAGTACAATTACTACTATTATTACTTTTATTATTTCTTACAACACCTTGCACATACCTCTCTGAAAAAAATATTGCTAAAATATGTTTGAGAGATCTCATATCTGTTGTAAACAAATGTCTCAGGCATCAGGCAGCATGTAATAGCTTTGAGGTTGCTTTTAGAGGCAATAAACTCTTCAAATGTCTGGTAGCCAACTCAAGGTGAATGATAGCCTATGGTAAGTTCTTCTAAAATAGACAATTTCACAGCAAACCACTCTGAATTAATTTTGTTTACATCCTAACCACTTAATTATGTAGACAGCTTTGAAAAATCAGTGGAAAAATCCCTTTAAGACCATGGCTGCCGAGCTGGGTCTGAAGATGATCTGTCATTTCAGGGATTATTGAGAAAGACGATGGCTCTA